AGCATCTCAAGTTGGAGGTTAGTATGAGCTAGTGAGTTTTAAAACCAGCCTGGGCAACAGAGTGAAGCCATACAGTAAAGTTCACAGAGCAGCCGTATCTACCCCACGGCTCACGGTGCAGCGGTGTCTACCCCAAGGCCCACAGCGCCCCTGTTTTTGGTTTGACAACTTTCTCACAGGCTGCATGAGATCATTTGTGAGGATGAGGAAACTGCTTGAGAGGAAGGGAACTGTTATTCTAAATTTCCAGACAAAGAAAGCGTTTACAAGGCAGCACTGATGATTTTTTTTTTCTAGGTCATGGGTGGGCCTGCTTAAATTTTTTTTTACTTTTTGATTAACACCACTTTAGTGTGAGGCGTTTGTCTTGAATTAATGAGTCTAGGCTGGCAGGCAAGAAGAATTTTAAAAGATTGCTTTAATTATTTGTCGTTATCTTTTAGGAATAAAATCTTAGAATCCAGCTTCCTGGCTTTGAGAGATCCAGTTCCTTTTTCTTTTTTTTAAAGAACCATAATGTGATGCAGAGATAAGAAACGATAAAAATATCCCCAAACCTCACGTCTGTGCTTGGTGTAGTTATGAGTCAGCCCCCTTGCTTGCATAGGCTTTTACCCTTTGGAAAGCAGAACCTCCAATGTCTGCAACATAGCAGGAGGTGATGGGAGCTAGCTCTGCAGAGGACCGGCTGCCGTCCTGGACCTTAATGTTTGGAGTTCTGAGTAAAAAAAAGCTGTCTGCCTCCCTTTCGCGATACAGACCCCAGAGTAAGTGCTAGGTGAGGTCTCATACAGGTTTCTGAAGAGTTCAGAAACTTGCCCTGCCAAGAAGCTCTGTGTTAGGAGGAGACACCCCACCCCTCCCTGGGAAGGCCTCGGGTCTTAGTAAGCCAGAGTGCAGATTACAAAGGCCTAGAGGGGTTCCCCTCCCTTGGTGGTGGGGAGGCAGGGTCCTCTGTGTGACAACTCATTGTAAAGCTGCACTTGACATTTCCACACAGGCCGGTGGGGAGCGGACAAACCGACACAAAGTGATTCTCCTCGCAGCCACCTGCCGCTAAGCCGCTGCACTCTGCCTGCCTGAGAGTCCTCTGTTGGACAGATGGGTCTGGGAATCCACAACCCCACCACCTGGGAGTGCTGGAGGTGGCGTTGTTATGGTCACTTGATATTTGAGGCACACGGATAATAGGCACACAGTGCACCCTGGCATTTGGGAAATTGTGTGGAGCGAAACCATCATCATTTTTTTTTTCAAAGAAAATTATGGGTTTTACTCTTTTCTGTTAAACTTGCTGGGGTATTTGAAGGTGCTCATAGAATTCTGTTTGTGGGAATTTGGGAAGGACATTATGTTGACGTGTGCAGTGGAGAATTAAGACAAATGATAATTGAAAGAGATGATAAAAGCTAGTGGTTTCCATGGGGAAACAATCACGACCTGCTGTCAGATTGATTCCAATATGAACATTGCTTTATGTGAAATGTTTTTTAAACAGCAGAACCAAAGCAGCAAGCCAGAGCACTTCTGAGGGCTTTTTATCGTGGTCTGTTTCGATTAGCCCTCCATCTGAGATTCCTCGACTTACATTATCCACCCGCACAGCCGTGTTTAGCTTCTTTGTGGTCAACATTTAGCTGGAAATGAGAAGTATCAGGTTGCAGAAAGATGAGCCTACATTTAACCAGAGGAATTCGTAGTTTCTGACGTGCAGAGTCAGTTCGGGGTGCTAGCCTGGGCTGGCTCAACGTCGCTGCTGGGTTGAACATATTTCTTTAACAGTTCTAGAAAGCCATCGCTGTGTTTGGGGGGCTTGTAGCCATAGCAACCCTTCCCCACGATCCACATCCGCATTTCTGTGCATTGGTCGTGAACAGTCCTCAAGGACCCCATTTCCTCGCAATATAATAGGTTGTATACCGTAGAGAACTCCTAGCATTTGTTGTGTGACACAGCTGTGCCCTGCATTGAATCGGAACAAAGAGCCTGGCGTGAGAGGCACAAATGCTCACAGAACGAATGAGCGAACGAATGAATGACTCTTTGCTCAAATCTTGCTTCTGTGTCTCCTCCACTGTACTGCACCAGCTTGGACCCCTGGGGGCAGTGGGGACTCACTGCAGGGGCCAGCCTCAGTTTCCTTCCCTGTGGATTTGGCTAATAGGAGGCAGGAGACTGGAGGACGGGTCAGATAAGGTGGCTTCTGTAAAAGGATCGACTGTTCCTCTCTTACAGATGGTCTCCATACCATTTATTCCCCAGGGGGTTCTCTGGTGTCACCAGTAGAGGCAGAGTTTCTTTGTGTCTTGGCAGCCACTCCCAAATAACCATTCAGAGACTTATTATTAATTATAAATGCTCAGCCGATAGCTTAGGCTTGTCTCCAGCCAACTCTTACAACTTAAATTATCCCGTTTCTTTTCATCTCTGTGCTGTCCCAAGGCTCATTTACCTTGTTTATGAACTTCCACTGTGGCTTCTTCTTTATCTGGTTTGAAAATCCTCAGACTCTGCTCTTCTTCCCAGCTTTCTCCCTGCCCTGAGAATCCTGCCTGCCTATCAGTCAGCCCGGTTTTCCTATTTGCGGCGGTGTACCGAGATTGTTCCACAGCACGCGCATCACAGTTTTTCCTACGCGTCCTTAAACCCTGCCCACACCTTTGTAAACAGCCTCCCTGAGAAATCCTGTTCAGTCCCTCAGTGCTGGAGGTTCCCAGTGTCCTGCTGAGGCCCTGGCTGTTGTTTGCCCAAGCCACCTAGTTGACAAAGTTGATGGATGTTTGTCTTTCTTGCATTCCTGCAAGTAAGTGAATGCTCGAGAAGAGACTGCTGAAAACGCTCTGTCTCCTCCATTCAACAAAGAATGTGACCAGGCAACATTTATCCCTGTCTGATCCATGCTAGTGCTTGATAAATACTGATTGAATGAATGGTTATCAGCATCTAAAGAGAGAACATCAATGAGGGGTGGAAAGTAGCTTAGCTAGAGTTCCTTGCCGCTCTCTGCTCCACCTTCACAGGGTAACAACAGCTACAAGACAGGGCTGTCCTCAGCAAAGGTGCCTCGCTGACGGGATTGGCTACATTCCCCCCTACTCAGCTGTTTCAGTCTCTTTCCTGCTGCTCTGGTAAAATAATCTGCCAAGAGCAGTTTAAGGGTTAATTTTGGCTCACGGTTCGAGATGACCGTTCATTATGGTGGGAAAGTCACAGCAGCAGGGGATGGAAGCCCCAGAACACATGGCGTTCATAGTCAAGAAGCAGACAGCAATGAAAGCTGTCTTCAGAGCCCCTTCTTCCTTTTATGCGCTCAGCGACCACAGCCTTGCGAGTCGTGCTACACACGGCAGGCTGGTCCTCCCATCTCGGTCTAGCCAAGAAAACCACCCACAGGTATGCCCGGAAGCCCAGCCGCCATAGTCCAAGACCTCATCAAGCTGACAATTGAAATTAACCATCACAGTAATCTGGGGTGTGCTATCCTCCTGCCTCAGCATGGGCCAGTATTGAGATTACAAACGAACGTCACCATGCCCTGTTGAGTGGATACATCATTGGTGAGGACTCTGAAAAACCACCAAGGGTTTTCAGGAAAAAGTCAGCAGGATGATAAACTAAGCAACACCCTGCTAAGCCTTCAGAGGCCAAAGTCCCTCGAACGGATCCCCGAGAAAGAGGCAGCCTGCGGGAGATCAGAGCAGCTGGTCAATCTTGAGCAACTTCATGATCTTAAGCTTCAGGGTGGGACGGTCTGCCTGGGAGCTGCTGAGCCTGTGGGCTGTGCAACAATAAACATTTAATACAGTCCAACCCTGGCCAGTATTTCATCACTCCCAAAGTGTTTACATGTATCTCAGATGCTCATGCAGAAGGAGGCTGATCTTCCAAACCCAGAAATCTGCTTTACACTGACGACCCTGCTGACCTTGCTCCTTCTCGTTTTCAATTTCATCTAGAGTCCCCTAGGCCGACCCATCTAAGGAAGACAATCTTATTTGTGTTAATGTGTCTCATGACTAGCTTGTTCAAATGTTTCTCTTGGTTGGGGTGGTGGTAGTGACAGCTCTGGCCACAGTCCCTACCTGGAAAGTCATGCATGTATATAATGGTATTCTTCTCTGGTCCTAAGGCCTTCCTGTGACCCTTCCTCACTATGCAATGAGCTTGGTGACTATCTTGCAGGATCCCCTGTGCTATGACCCTAGAAGTCTCCCTGGGTCCTTGTCTTCATTTGGAATCATGAAGTTATTTGGAGGTCTCCAAATGGTGATCCTTTGGGAGAGGAGCTATGAGCTTCAGCGAAGACTTCTTACTAAAGCTTCCCTTTCCCACAGGCGTTCCCACTTGTGTTTCTCCCAGACCGCTGTCTTACTAGCCTTTCCATCACCCACTCTTGCTGTAACTTGTTGTAACTGAGGCTCAGGATCACCACTAACCACCTAGTACTGGAAGTAGTCAAGTCCTCCGAGGACATGTATAGGCTGTCACCCCGAATAGAAAGCTACCCTCCACAGTTCAGCATCCTTGTCCTCCCCACACAAGCTCAGGAGAAGGTGCTACTGTCCATCTCCCTGGTGCTAAGGAAGATGACCTGTGTGTTTCTTCCCCATGAGGGAAGAAACTTTAGCTTTGTGGTGCTGTGAACCCTAGAACTGCCCTTTAGGAAGCAGAACCTTAAAGTTCTAACCTTAGAAAACAGTAAATGCTAAGGACCTTTTCCCTCTGTATGAGAAGTGGTGTCATGGGTACCCTGCCACAGTTAAGGTACCATCAGCTGGAGCCAGCTGGAGTTTGTCTATGATCAGACAGTCCCCAGGGGTCATTGTCACCAGCTGCTTGACTTGGACCCTGGACTGTTTTACAATGCCCTCCTGTGGCTTAGGTGGCCTTAAATGACAGCGGCTCTGTATCCACATGCTGGTCGCCTGGCCCCAATATTCCTCCTGCACGGCCCAGAGCCCCCATCTTCACACTCTGACTGTGTTCTCTGTCCCTCACAGGGTCCCCGGTGGCACATAGAGCTTCAGCCTTGGGCAGGCCCTGCTCAGTCCCTGGATGAAGAAGCCTCAAGGTTCCTGAGCTACATCAGCACCACTCAGGTTGGGTTTTAAGCTGAAATGGGTTTGGGAATAACGTCAAACGTACTGAGCAACCCCTGCAAGAAGAGTTCGCCCTCTAGGACCAGGAGACTGTGAAGGACCTCCTGACAGGAACAGGGTAGGGGCCCCGGGTTCTGAGTGCTGCTACTTCATTTTCCCCATTCTGTGGAGGCAGAGAAGATGGCTTCCATTTGCTGTCATCTCCTTCCTTCCTTCATGGCTTCTCATCAACCTGGAATGTCCTAATGATTCATCCTTGAGTGTTTTGAAGAGTCACTTTGGAAAACTGCTTTCGAAAGCCATTGGGAGAGACAGATTTGTCCCTGTGTCACAAAGCAGTCAAGCGTGCCACAAAGCAGAGCCATCGTCTGGAGGCTCAGCTCCTTTCCTACTTGGAAGCATCAGCCTGTGTGCTTCCCGGCCACTGGCACTCGGCAGCCAGGCCAAGAAGGGCGAAAAAGTCAGAGGCTCTGAGGGGCACTGCTAGAAGTTAATGACCCCAGTGCTCACTCCCCTCTCCTTGGAGAGCCCCCAAGTCATTACTGAGTAGGGCCTTTATTAGTGGCTTAACACACAGTGGCAGCTCTTGCCCAGCTCCAGGGGTGAGGCAGTCAGGGGCTCTGGGAAGACAGGAAAACGTTCATTAAAGAGACGCCAGGGCTCTTGACACGTTAATCCGAAGGCTCACTCTCGTGTTGCCTGCTCCGAGGGAAAAGACAGACGTAAGAGGAAATGAGCCTGAGGATGCTTAGTCCTAGACTGAGAGGTGTCAGAACGTAGGACATTTTGAGCCCGGGAACTGAGCACAGGTTCACTGTAGGATGCTCCCGGGGCAGGAGTAGTGGAGAGAGAGGCCTTGGATGCTTATATCCATAAATCCACGGTACCGTTGCATCCACGGTCCCTTAACACTGTACTGAGCCTCACTGGGAGCGAAGCCCCTTAGAAAGGATGGGAAAGAATAGTCTGGTTTCCCCTACCTTCCTTTGAGAGAGGCTCTTGCTCTGCAGCCCCAGCTAGCCTCGAACCCCTCCTGAGTGCTGCACTCACAGACAGGTATGTGCCATTGTTCCTGGCTCGTTTCCAGAGCTGCAGGGAGACAAGTTCAGATTACAAGTCTTATTTCCGACTTGATGCAGTTAGACACACATAGGAATTTCAATACTTGCCACCCAAACATGGAAATAAAAACCCACAGAATTAATTGTGGTTGATAGAATGATAAATCAGTCCCTGTGATTTACAGAAATTCATCATATTTAGCTGCTTCAAATTAATTGGGTGACCTTACACAGGCTTAATTAAAGTACTGAAATTTTAATTTTATAATTTGGCTTTGCATGGGGGATAGGAGACGAAATCTCTTAATTATAACTTAAAAATGCTCTTAACAGCCTGAAGAAAAACTAGAGATATTTAATATATAAACTGAATTTGAAAATGATGAGCTCCATCCTCCAAAATTAATTTATTGAGTGTGAGCCTCCAAATTCCATCTTACATGTATTTTAGGTTAATATTCTACAACTTACAGAAGGGGTCTTTACTTAGGAGACACATTGGGGCATTCGGTGATCATTTCAGACTTCTCTTGTGTCTTTTTCATGAGCCACGAGGAGGGGGGAAAGTCTAGAAAAAGAAAAAGGAAGCATGTTCTGATGTGATGCGGGCTAGCGCTGGAACCTGGACAGTTGACTTTGCTTTGATGGTTGTCACCATTCTGATCCTAAAAAGCGTGAGGTTAGACCAAATGCCTCCCAGATTTCCCCTGTGGCTGGGTGTTGTACAGAAAGTAGGTCAGGGTCGCTACTAGCCTAGTATTTCTGAGCAGCTATGTGGCCAGGGAATTTGGCTTTAGCCTCGGCCTTGAGGAACCCAGAAATGAGTGGCTGTATAATCACTGACAGCTTGAGACGCGTCATATTTGAGACCTGGCGTTTGAAGCTGTAGAAGAAAGACTCTGCCATGGGGTAATGCGGGCTCTTCATCTGGATCGGGGATCCTAATGAACCCAAGAGTTAAGAGCAAAGTGACAGCGTTTCTGCTGAATTTCCTGGGAATCTTCATAAGGCAGTGATGTCCTGAGAAATGGCCAGAGTGTGATGCTTTCACACTTTTCAGATGAAGGAAAATGAACTTGTGGAGGAACAAAAGCACAAATGGACCTCCAGACTCAGGCAGTCAACTCTAACGTTGCTGCCAGGAGATCTGTGGTGGGGACCTCAGTGGGGTGGGCTGGGGGCGGTGAACCTGGGGGCTGGAGGATGGTGAAGTTGACTTTGAAGTTTGTTTCTTTGGTCTTACTGCGATTCCAATGGCCCCGGGGAAATCAAATCTATATTTCAACCTTTGTATGGGAAGGCCACCCCACCCAAAAGAATCTGTATAGCTTATTACATATAGGAAGAATCTGGCCAATGGCTCTCTCTCAAGTTACGGTTCCCCAGTGGCTGCGGCTTGACGTGATGATTGTACCAGTTGGGAATATTTTGAAATGAGATGTCCCGAGTCCCTTCCAAACTCAGTGGAAGGCTTTTCAGCCTTCAGAAAATGTGAAGGATTGCAGACCGCACAATGGTTTTGTAATCAGGAGCCATTTATCCAGGTGAAGCTCTGGGCTCTGATGGCTTCCAGGTGGGAGCCTTCATGGATGACACGGATGTCATCAGATCCTTTGACTAACCATCGCTCCCGCCCCCTTCTCTGCGCAGCGAGGAGCTGTGGGGATGCTTTTGTGACTTATGCCTCATTTAGAAAGCGTCTTAACAATGGAAGCCTGCAAAACTTGCAGAATATGAAAGCCGCCACCGCTGCCTAACATTTGCAGTTAGCAGCTGTGAGTCACTAAGTGAATTCCTCCCCCAGCCTCTTATGCTGCTTAAAAAATATCCCTCAAATCTATGTTCAAGCTGACACAGTCAGGCACTGCACTGGATAAGTTCATGGCTGAGGTGTTCATGTGTCGGTACAAAAGGCGTTTGTTGATCACCTGCCTAGGGTGGTCTGGGCTCTGAGATCGCAAGCCTTAATAAAATGCCTCTCTGTAATGCTAAGTAGGACATGAGGGGCATCTAACTGAGGGTGAGCACGTAAGTGGGCATCAGACAGCATGGGTGTGGTGCCCTGTTCTCAGTGATGACTGGGGTGGCATAATTAGGGCCCCCAGAATTTTTTTTTTTGGTGGAACACAAGAGGATACACTATTTGACTAGAGTATGCAGTATGTCAGGCCCAGTTTGATTAGCTATATTGTTTTTCTTGATATGGGAGATCCTGATGACAACAGGTTCTGCAGGCAATAACAGAGCGAGCTGCTAACAGGAAATGGTTAACTCCGAAGCGCTTGCCTGTGCTGATGGAAAGCTTCGGAGCCAGCTCTGTACGGCAGCCCCCATACCATATGCTTCAGGAAGCAAGCATCTCAGCACCAAGTTCATCTAAGCAGCAGTGGCTGTTCTAAAGAAGAAAGAAAAATGTTTAAAATTATATTTTTCTATCAGTTACTGCCCATCTGTAATCTGTTACTCATCCAATTATCTACACATCTACATGTAAAAATACCCAAGAAGTCAGACTCTGGAGACCGGGAGACCCAGATTAGTATGCCTTGTGTTTGCTCTCTCTCTCTCTCTCTCTCTCTCTCTCTCTCTCTCTCTCTCTCTCTC